GTGCCACGCTAGTAGTAACAGGTGCCTTACTTGTAATAACAAGAAGCTAGTGCCTTCGACTTCTTCTTGAGCTAAGGACCGTCGGACTGTCGCCACGGACACGCTTTCGAGACAGCTTTCGAGAACCCACACGAACCGCAGTATCAACTGTAGAGCCTGTCCACATTCATCTATATGTTGAACATGTTTGGAACAAATCCAACCCAAAAGGGCGGATCAATAGCACTTGCTGCGAGAAATTGGAAAAATTGAAAAAACACTATGTCATTATGTATATGAATTGCAAAGACTACTTGGTAGAGACCACAAAGGTCAACTCGCCCAATTCCAAAAATGGCAACAAACACATGAAACAATGCATTGGATAAAACGATTTGTTGCTCCAAGCGTAGCTAACGCACACGCAAACACTGTACATTGTACGTGACACAGCACACGGATTTGCAACTCTTGCGCGGATTCACCGTGAACGCCCACACCACCACAAAACGACTAACCCTCCTCGTCTGGCGGAACGGAATACGAAAGAAAACGCACCTAACTTCACCTGACATGACTTAGGTACACTTGCAATCCTGGCTCCCGGGAAAAGCCTTGCTAGCTAAGCTTGAAGTAGACGGCAGCTCAGCTGTGGACGGTGGCATCGCTACGAACGGAGCATTCTGACTACGAACGGAACAGGACTCTACTTAGGAACGCTTTTGCAAAAACAGGACTCTTTCGGGTGAAAATCGAAGGCACGCGGTTTCCCCGCTCGTTCGAAGGCGCCCATCCCAAATGCGAGGTGCGGAAAGAGCGATGCAACTGGTCCGGCTTTCGAACAAGAAAAAGCCTTTAAAACACACCTGTGCTACTCGACCTACGCCTGAAGCTTCGGGAAGTTCCACCTGAAGTTTCTCCAAAAGGCACCGGGCGAAACGTCTGCCAAATCTACGCATCTTATCGACCTTTCTAATTCCCGATAAAGGGTATCCCAATGTACCCCACATCAAGTGCACATGGTGCAGCTGCTAGGCCACGACTTTTTGACCCCCACACGGTAGGCGTGGCAAATCGCCAAAGGCGTCACAAAAACGTGTTGACGCAAAGACATGTCTTTGGCTCCTGCGAAAGACTTCGCATGTGATTTTTCAAGGCAAAGACCACTGGGTGCAGAATAGGATTCGGATCGTGCCTGACGTTGGCATCCGTTGGTGCTAAAAGGTTCTCCATGTTTTGACAATTCTCAAAGACTTGGTACTTATCTTTCTGCGCACTCTGAGGACTCGGCCAAACTCGGTTAGGGTCGACTCCGGCCAAAGTGCATCGGGAGTTCCCGTGGACCACACCATCCACATTCACCATGGGGATCACCTTTATGAATTTAACAGAAAACAGAACAAATTCAATTCTAATTCAAACTCTTCAATGTGATTTAAAATACCTATTTCATGCAAAAGCACTTTGATTCCAGATTGCGCATCATTGCGCGTCTTTTTCTTATGTTCACATCTCCACATCTCACGCTTTCTTGTTCCGCCAAGCCACATGAAACACAAACTCTTCACCTTGGATTTCGTCAGACATTCCGTCTTCAGACGCCAGAATTCAATTGACCGGGTTCCACTGCCCGGCCGAGTTCCGACATGTTTTCGGAACGTGTACAGTTTTCTCGGTGTCCAGCGTAAACATTTCGCCGCTGGCGTGGGACCCAACAAAAACCGCAGGAGCCCTTGCACCGCCCACGACCTCAGCACGGTACATTCCGTAGAACTTATGAAGAGTTGGTTGAAGCTTGTTTGGGCAACTGATTCCGAACCTTTCTTCGTGTCCTATGTTTTCAAGAAAAAGGAAAACATGGAATATGAGAGCATAGACCCCAGATAGCGGGTACGGTGTATAGGTTTAAAGGACACGCCACAGACAGCTGTCACCGCAGCACGCAACATCAGACCAGTCCACCAATATGCGCAACATCTGAATATCAGCTGAATGCGCCCGCTATGCCCAACACAGGACCAGCCAAAGCTGCCTGCTGCACAACACGGTGTCATGCACAATATGACATGTCATCCCCCCTGGCATGACACGATGTCGTGCCTACCTACACAAATGATGTCATCCCTGGCATTCTGGGCATGACGTGCCCTGGCATGATGTCCGCCCGCCGATCCAGCGCCGGCTGCACCAGCACCAGCACGGCAGCACCCGCAAAACGAAAACACGAATCAGCCACACCATTGAGAAGTTGAAACATGTTGAAACCCTTGTAGCCCCGCTCTGGGGGCGTTGCCCCACGACTTCTCCGGGGTGTTGCCGAGCGGTGATCACCACAGCATACCTGGACAAAGACGATCAGAACAGTCAAAGCTATAAACAATCCATTTGAGACCATGTTCTCAATGTTGAAAAACAAAACGAAATGCAATGAGCAAAATGCGATCAGAAATTAAGAAAGGAAAGCGTGGAGGAACACAACAGCGAAAGAGGAATCCGAAGCCGTGACGTGTTTGAGTCTCTTTCAACGGTTTGAGTCTCCGACTTTGGGAGCTGCCTAAGAGTGCGCTGGAAAAGAATGAAAAATAAACAACCTAACAGCACTGGCCACCTAATAGCGACGGTAGTGATGGCCTCCAACCTACTAGCGAAGGCCTCCAACAAAATCAATACAAAGCAAATGGACAAACGTAAGTGGTTAAGCATTCCTTCCCCTTTGTGGGTTTTGGCAGATGCTTCCTAAGGCTGTAAGGGCCGCACTCACCTTCTTTCTCATTCAGGCCCTGCCCGACACTCGCTCCACCGCACATGCGAAAGCGGAGATGGAATGTGCCGCTCTGACCACAGAGGCAATCAAACACGGACACTTCCCCCACGGCCGCTGGCCGTGGCGGGGGGAGCTTCCTTGAAGAAGCGTGAGCTATTCTGCGTCCTAAGTAGTTTGGCTACTAGGCTACCAGCTACCTAGCTACTGTACTACTAGCTACTACTAGCTACGCTACTATTAACTACTACCTCTACGGCCTACCCCCCTTTTTTAGTAAAATATGTGTTTTGAAGTTAAGTGTCCCTAAGAATCAAACCAAATGAATAGGGCGAACGCTTGTAGCTTCCCTGCATCCAGTTACTAGTAGCGTCGTCGCTCGGAGTGAACTAGTAGCAATGGCCTCCAACCTAAGAGCGGACTCCCTAACTAGCTTATACTGATACTCCCTTGATTACGTAAAAGATACTAGCGGTACTCTAGTAGAATACCTTTACTAATTTGAATTCTAATTACTAGTTCTTGTTTCTACAAGCTTCTTGTTACTAGTAGTAAGGCCAGGAGCCCCTAGTAGGGTCCTTGCTCCGTTCGTAGCGATGCCCTTTGCTCCTAGGCTCTTTCGACGTGTCTCGGTCGACCTCACTGACCACGAGCAGCGGCACCGGCAATTGGCCGATGCTCCGGCAGAGTTCCCTCCGACGGAAGTGGCACCTCCGAAAAACGCAAAGTGCCAAAAACGTTGTGTTTCTTCCTTCCCTTTGGTCAAAAACGTCCAAAAATAATTCTTAAAAATTGAGCCACCATAGACCCAAAACAGTTTTGGTTTAAGAATTGGAACACATTGCAACTAGAGTTTCCGACGGAAGCGCTTCTTTTGTCCAGAGCTGGGAAACAAATGAAGGATTGCAAGGCAGAGGTCGGCACCGCGAGGCAGAAGTCCACACAAGGCGGACACACTCAGAATTCAGAACCCATGAGAACCCATGAGAACCCCAGTAAACTGTTTGGGGAAATTGAAATAGAATATGTTATTTGCAACCCGTGTTGACTCACCTGGCAACGGCATCCTGCTCCAACGAGGAGATAAAACTGCTCATCATGCCTCAGATGTGAAGAGTGTGTGCCAAACGTGGGGTTCACTAAAAAGAATAATAAGACAAGTAACAAGAAGCTAGTAGTAACAAGTGCATCGCTAGTAGTAACAAGTGCCTTACTAGTAGTAACAAGGACGCTACTAGGAGCATCGCTTTGAACAAAAACCGCCGCCTGTGTTTCTACTCGATAGAAATATACTGCGCTATGCCGATCAGGATGGAAAGACGGACACTTCTTGTCACTCCTTTCTTAACTTCTTAACTTAACTTCTTTATTGTCACTCCTTTTCAGGAGTAACAAGTGCATCGCTTCTAGTAACAAGTGCCTTACTAGTAGTAACAAGAAGCTACTAGGGGCTCCTGGCCTTACTACTAGTAACAAGGTTTGCTCCTTTTCAGGTTGCCATACCGAACCCATCTTAACCTGCCATGCGCTCCGCTCAAAACCCTTTCGCACCTCGGTGTTTGGAAGAGGCCAGACCGGACAGATGGACCGACACCAGATGGACGCGACCCAACCGAAAGGACAGGATAGGAAAGAGAATACAAACACGAAATGAACCAAGGAAAGAACCAATTCATACAAGGAAAGCGAAGTTCAAGATGAGAACTCAAGAACTCAAACCAGGGACATGTCCAAACCTGCTAAAAGCTCATCTGAATCATCGCATCACGAACAATCATGCAAGGCCAAGGAGCTGTAGCTGTAGGGTGGATAAGCCGCAAAATAGATCTCATCCTCCTTACGATCAACACCTGAGGCACGCTCCCCCCCCTCGCTACTAGGAGCAAAGGGCATCGCTACTAGGAGCAAGGACGCTACTAGGGGCTCCTGGCCTTACTACTAGAATAAAGGGGCATCGCTACTAGTAACACCTGAGACAAGCGGTCAAGGTCCACGTTTTATGTCCTGTTTGGACCAAGCATGGTACGGTAGGACCACTGGAGCATGACATCCTCAGGCGAACTCACGTCTCGGAAATGCGGCATTTGAGGGCCTTACTACTAGTAACAAGTGCCTTACTAGTAGTAACAATTAGAATTTAATTAGAATTGTAATTACTAGCTTCTTGTTACTACCAGCAAGGCACTTGTTACTACTAGCGATGCACTTGTAATTACTAGCAAAGGAACCTGCAAGTTGGGACGATAATTAAGCAATCAAACCTTCAAGTATGCATGTGGGCTATGAACAGGGAGCGAGCAGAAAATCAGAAAACACGTCAGAGACACAAAGACACTGCGGCCGGCGCGTTTCTGGGCACACACTACTGTAATCTCTTGCACTGATGTGCGTACATTGCTTTCTGTTGCATCACTGCGCGCGCCCGCATCATTGGTCCATAGAGGAGTTGCTTGAGCAAATGAATGATGGCTCACTGTGATCAGTGCCTGACTGGTAAGGTACTGAGTTGCATTGTAAAGTACTGGTAAAGTAGTGAGTGATCATTGATTGAGTTGCATTATTTTTAAAGTTTTTGCTTGCCTTTTGTCGATATACAGCTTGCAAATCGACGAGTGTGAAAAGCGGCAGTGTGATGGGCCTGTCTGCATTTCATATCCAAACATGACCTGTCTGGGACCGGCAGTCCTGACTACCGAGAAACAGCCTGGGGTGGTTGAGGCAGGGTCCATCTATATAGGTCAATATGCCAAGCCCATCAAGTCTTTGAAGTAGAACCCAGCAAGGACGCAAGGCCATCGCAAGTAGGGCATGGTTTTTCACCCCTTGTCGTCCCTCTTAGAGGTGCAGAAAACGAACGGGAGGTTCTATTTTCTAATAAGAAGCAAACTTTGTTACTAGTAAGGCACTTGTTACTACTAGCGTGGCACTTGTTAGTAGCGGGGCATGCGTCATTTTTTCGGCCTTTAGGAGGCGGTCGCCGGAACCGGCCCCATAGGCCCAACCGGAACCGCAAAAGACAAACGTCAGAAACTCAGACTTCCTCTTTCCGTCCTTCTTGGACCTTTTGGACGGCGTAACTGCCAAGTGGTCTTTTGGGGTACCCAAAAGGGTTCTCGAAGCCGCATGTGGCCAAAGCCTTTTTGGCTTCCTAGTTATTAGTGATTGAATTATTCAGGATGAGAGTCACGACAGGTTTGAAGATCTTACTCGAACACTTCGTGGGTTCGAATAACCTGGAGGTGGGTCACAGCTGAGCAGGAGTGATTTGCATTGGAGACGGGTAAAGTTGTTGCGAAGTACCAAGTTCCGATCGAAGGACCGCGCAAAGGACTACAAGAAGAGCCTGCATAAAGCACTGGTAGTAACTAACAGCATGTAGCAACTGAATTGACTGGAACTGTTCAAACACTCCAACTGGTCGGAAAAGCTCCAACGCAGCCCCAATCCAATTTGAGAAATGTTGGGAGGCAGGGCCAGGCAGGGAGGAACTGGTGCCCAAGAGCTGGGTGGGGAGCACGTAGGAGGAACGCCCGTCAGACAAGTGCGGCACGGAAACATACTGCTAGGCACGTGCAGCTGCCTGTCGCCTTGCTGCGCGTAAAAAGTGTTTTGTGCAGCGTAGACTGAACCGAGCCACAAGGCACACCACAAGGGCAGAAACGCCTTCAAGGCAGGCTGAACACAGCGAACAGCAACAAGGTGACAGCGCCCAAAGTTCAGTTTGACCCACAGGATTCCGCCCATACAGACTGCACACCACTCCAGACACCTTCAAGATGAATTCCGGTTTCAAGCGTGGACAAACTGTGCACCACACCGTTCCCAGCCGAGATTGAAACCCAACTGCGTTCTGCTAAATGTCGGTTCGTACGACCTGGAATACTCAGTGTTCACAATCCACGGTTCCCAAGGCTTAGATGCTGCCTGAAATGGGGGTTTGACATCTTTCGGCATGCATGTCGCATCAAAAAGACCCTGCGTGGCCTCCCAGAAGCGTTTCCTTTCTGTATGTTTTTTGTATGTTTACATCACGACCTAGCCCCAGCGGTACCTCGGAGAGGCACGAACCATAGTCAACTCGTTCGAGCCAAGACACGCCGCGAGCTTCACTCCTCGGGCGGGGAAGGGCCGATTTTGTGTGAAAAATGGGGCCATAGAGGTGAGCTAGGTAGCTACTAGCTTACTTAGGACGGCTGACGATTTTCTTCAGGGTTTCTCGTTTTTTTGGTGATTTTTTTGGTAGCGGCTTTCATGTGGTGATCCCGTGGCAGGCGCAGCACTTTGAGCATCTTCAGCTGCAGAATTCGTGGCAAGCGCGGCGCGTTGCGCACTAGAAGTGCAAATTTTGTGGCAGGCACAGCACTTCCTGAAGATTTCGTGGCAGGCGGCGGCGCAGGCAGTACTTCGCGAACCTCGAAGTGCTAATTTCGTGGCAAGGGCAGCACTTCGTGCACCTCGAAGCGCAGATCTCGTGGCAGGGCAGCACTTCGTGAACATCGCAAGGGCAGGTGGTGACCCTTGACAATCATCTCTGCATCTTCATATGATGATGACGATGACGTTGATGATGACGATGGTGAACATGATGATGATGATGATGATGATGATGATGATGATGATGATAACAGTGACAGTTTGTCTGATGAGGCTGATAGTGTTCACGATGATGATGATGATGATGATGATGATGGTGATGGTGATGATGATGGTGATGGTGATGGTGATAAATCATCAAGAAGATGATCCTGAATGCGATGTCTAAGACGATGGCAAAGATGATAGTTAGACAGTTGAAGCTGGCACCCGTTCTTGAAGGAGAACCCTCCCCAGCTGCTTTCTGAGAAGATCGATTCCAGCAACAAGCACCGACGCAGTGGCTTACTTTCGCACAGAGGCATCTTGCTGCGCTGGAATGGTCCATTCCTGCTCTGGATTTTCCCCTCGCATGGCTCACAAAAAGGCCTGCTACATTGGAGTGGCTCCTGCCTCTTCTAGATATTACTGTACATTCGTGTGGCTCACAGAAGGTCTGCTTCCTAGGACTGGCCCCTGCACCCTTTTAAATTTCTCCTTTGGCTGGCTGGTACATTCAACGCTCGCGAAAGGTCTGCCACATTGCAATAGCCCCTTCCTCCTTTAAAATTGACCGTCTGTAAAAGACTCCGGCGGGCGCGTGTAATATTTTGCGAGAGCGATGGGCGCGTGGGTGACCTTTGGAACATCTGTCCTCGTAGGCCCAGCTCATTGGCAAAAGTAATGCAGATTTCGTGGCGGTGGGCGAGGGTTGGGGGAGGGCACAGCGCCTCCCCTGCAGAACAAACCAAACATCAAAAGCCATAAAGGCGCCACAAAATAGATCACCGTCGAAAACTATATACACACCCCATTGCCTCATCAATGAAGGGCACTCAAAAAGTGACTCAAGGGCCCAGGCAACCGGACTAGGAGACTACTAGCTATGGCCTCCAACCTAATCGATGGCCTCCAACCTAAAAGCTTTTGGCCTCCAACCTTCCAACCTACTAGCTATGGCCTCCAACCTAAAAGCCATGGTCCCCAACTAAATAGCTATGGCCTCCAACCTAGTAGCTATGGCCTCCAACCTAATATCTATACCCTAACCTAATAGCTATGGTCTCCAACCTAATAGCTATCCCCTCCACCCCAATAGCTACGCTCTCCAAATAGCTATGGCCACCAACCTAATAGCTATGGCCTCCTGCCTGGCCTCCAATAAAAGCTAACCTACTAGCTATAGCCTCCAACCTAATAGCTTTGGCTTCCAACGAGCAAAAGGCCACTACCTCATCAACCTCCTGGACTATGAGAACAACACCGATGACATGGCCTTCATCACCGAGGAGGTCTTCCACACCAATGACGTCTTTGCCATTGAGCTTGTCTTGGAACCTGAAGCCACTAACTGTGACGATCCTGTGCTCCTTGAAGGTGAACAAGATGAAGCTTTCAAGATCCCTCGACCAAATTTGAAGTATCAACCTTCGGGTTTCCAGAATGGGACTTCAGCATTACAAGGATCAGAGATACCTTCAAGGGGCTTGTGAAAAGGGTGAAACCTCACTATGTTTGGACGGCGCCACCATGCCGTGATTGGAGCACCATCCAACGCTTGAACTGTGGCACTCCAAGAGAAAATGAAGAAACCTCACCACGCCGCTTCATGGGACACCAATGCCTTGGACAGCGTCGATGATTGCTCTGACGCTGCGTGCAATCGTTGCCAGACTGGTCTATGATACTTCGACAAGCAAGGCAACTATGTGGGAAAAATGAAAAAGCCTACACGACTTCGAACCAGTGATGAGGAGACCTATGACTCAACCTCCCCTGCACTTGCGAGCCCTATGAGCATGTCAACATGGACGGCAAGAGCCGCTGCAAGCAAATGCAAAACTATGAAACTGATTTCGTGAAGTGTGCAGCGCAAGCCATTTTGGCTTCTATGGAACGACGCTGGCGACAGCGTGAAGTTCTCCAGATCTTTGTCTCTGGGGCGTCAACACGGAACACAAGACAAGGAGACAACGGAAACCAATGGCATTCCACTTCACATGGAATCAGCTTCCAGCAGCTCATTGAAGTGGGAAGACTGGGGCCAAGAACCAGGCTTTGGTAGTTTGCTCATGAGGTGCTGGGCGCAAACATCGCAACGAAAGTTGCGAGCACAGCGGATGATGGAATCATCCATTTGAGCGTCATGGCCTTGATGAGCTTGTCATTACCTGGGTGTCCCAACTGTTTGTGCATTTCGGTCACCACAGAAAGAGCTTGCTTGCTGTGGCTCTTCATGAGTTACTTTTTCTTCATCCGTGAAGTCAATGCCGCGGTCGATCGTGAGACCGAAGAATGTGAACTGAAAGTCCTTGAGGAGCAATGGATCCATACATTTGGTCCTCCTACCAAGTTCAGAACTGATGCCTCTGGGGCTCACATGAATGAGCAGTACCTGCGCTTCTTCAACAAGTATGGCATCAAGCTCATCATCATCCCCAAGGAGGCCCCCTACCGGATGGGCACAATTGAGCGTTTGCATGCGGTGAGGCGACTGCAGCTCTACAAAATGCAGCAAGCCCAACCTGGAACTCGCAGATGCAGTTCGCATCGCCTGCAGTCAAAGGAATCGCCTTCACAACGCGCATGGATCTTCACGGCCCAGATGGTCTTTGGCCACAATCCGGCCAGCGGTGGACTGATCCCTGCTCTCCAAGCACTTCAAGTTCGGCAGTTGGGATTTTGGCTCTAGCAACGGTGCGAAATTCTGTGTTGTGTGGAGCTGATGTCATGCAGAGCTTGAACCACGAGACCATCCAGATCTCACTTGAGCAGTACTGCCAGAAGGTGAAACCTATTTGCTTGCTTGCGCCGACAAGGAGCATAAGCAACTTCGCGCGTTGCTTGGAGCCTTGGCTTGGCCTGCTCACCAATGCGTTCCTCAGTTGCGCCCCAGCGTCAGCATCTTGCAATCGTCCTCCAGCAATCCCATGATCAAGGATGTCAATGAGGCCAACAAGCTGTTGCGCTTTGCAAAGAATGTCACCAAGGACTACAAGCTGACCTTCCATGCCCATGGCGAGCTTTCTGATTGTGCATCAGAGCCTACACCGATGCCGCCTGGTCAGTCCGACCAGACGGAACGTCGCAAGGAGGTTTGTTGATCTTCCTGCGCAACCATGCAGAGCTGAGCTCAGAGAAACCAATGACGCTGACGGTTCATCAGTGGCAGTCAAGAAGAGCGCATTTGCAGGTCCTCACTATCAGCAGAAGCCCAAGCCGCCGCTGCTGCAGTTGATGAACTTGAATGGAGCAAAGTGTTCATGGCTTGTGTTGTGGACCCCAACCGAAGCTCTCAGGAAGTTTGGCACTTCACCACTGGCCACGGATGCTCGTTCTTTGTTTGATGCTGCTCGAAGCATGACGCCTGGCATGAAGTTGAGTGAACGCCGCACTGCCATCGAGATCGCCATCGTGAAGGACCGCATGCCTGCTCGAGACGGACGTTCCAATGGCTGAAGGAAGCCCAGTCGAGAACGATGAGAAGACCCATGAGTCCTTCCTCGGCACTCGCTTCTGGCTAATTGTTGGCCTGCTTGTCTTCTTTGCGCGCATTGGCCTGGAGCACATGACCTACAAGATCTATAAGCTCTTCCTCGAGAAGGCAACGGTTCTGTGGAAGAAGAACGAAGAGAATGAAGAAAAAGGTGAACCGTCGGTCCAGACCACTGACCGTACTTGCACCTTGCCCCAGCATAGTGAAGAAGTGCTGGAACAAGTCTTGGCCCTTTCCACTGGGCCAGGCATCGACCATCCACCGGGAATCGACCCTGGCAGTTCACCTGCAACTCCGACAGCGAGCTTGAAGACATGGACGCCCGAAGGCGCCTCATCCTGACCAACGAGGGCTTCACGACCCAGCGCTGGCGGAAGTTTCGAGAGCTCTTCAATCAGCGCATCGTGAGGCAGCGAGCGCGCATCGAATTCCTCGAGAGGATCAAGCGCCTGCAGTTCCTGAACGAACATGGAGAGTTGAAAGACAAGATGATCCAAACCAAGCTCACCTTCGATACGGACACCACACCGCCAACACGGACAGCTGGGATCTTGCCGGATCATGAGTGTGGAGCTTGGGATTTTCGAAGCAGCCTGAACACCCGGCTGTGAAGGGGCTTGAATGAATGTCTTCCTTTGTGGCCACGATGGCCATGACATAGCCAAAGAACACTGGCCGCGTCAACATGCGAATGCATTTTGATGTGTACTTGTCAACCTGGATCACCACCTACTCTGGCCTAATGCGTTCTCCAGGCCAAGTGATGACATGTTTTCTATGTTTGCGACTGCCGTCGCATCTTTGTCCGAAGGGCCCTTGAGCACATCCCGTTACGACCGCGCTTGCGCAGCCATAAAGGTGCGATTCTTGTGAACTTGGACGCTGCGGCTTCGGTTGCCAACATTGCGATAGAGATGGGTAGCGGAGCGCTACACGATCCAACCTAATAGCTATGGTCTCCAATGGCTATGGCCTCCAACCTGATAGCTATGGCCTCCAACCTAATAGCTATCGCCTCCACCCTAATAGCTATGGCCTCCAACCTAACAGCTATGGTCTCCAACCTGATAGCTATGGCCTCCAATAGCTATGGCCTCCAACCTAACATCTATGGCCTAACCTAATAGCTATGGCCTCCAACCTAATAGCTATGCCCTCCGACCTAATAGCTATGGCCTCCATCCTAATAGCTATGGCCTCAAACCTGGCCTCCAGCATAAAAGCTAACCTACTGGCTATAGCCTCCAACCCAATAGCTTTGGCTTCCAGCCTAATAGCTATGGCCTCCAACCTAATAGCTATGGCCTCCAACCTAATAGCTATTGCAACCAACCTAATGGCTATGGCCTCCCACCCAATAGCTATGGCCTCCAACCTAATAGCTATTGCAACCAACCTAATGGCTATGGCCTCCCACCCAATAGCT